ACAGTTTAAAAAAAGAATATTTGAATTAATCACTAGCTCCACTCAGCCACTTGAATTAAGATCTTTCAATATCACAGAATCATTCGAATTAATTCTAAGCTATGGTGTAAACATGAGATATTACGATTTTATATTTGTTATATAATTTAGGTTCAATGAACACAGAATATTTTACAGGCACCACAAAAACAAACCCCCACAGAAATCACCCCGCAGACGCCAAAAAAACTCCTAAGGAAGTCGTTATCGACGGTTAAAAAGAAACGAGTCGGCGCGGCGGCAAGGAAGCGGCAGTAAAAGGAGAGCAACAGTCGGTTTTCAATGGTGACAAACGGAGCCAAAAAACGGCTCGCGCCCGGCGGCGTTCCGCCCCGATTCGCTCGAGCGCCTCGGCCCGAGGCCTACGGGGCCTACTCCGCCCGAGAAAATGAACGACCGGGCCGCGAGCATTCCGCTGCACGCCCGCGGTGCGCGCCCTCCCCCGCGCGCTCGCCGCGTCCAGTTTATTTCACGCGGACTGCCGCCTGTAACTCCATTAATATCCAGTGGAGCTTAACCGCATCGTATCGCGAGCCGCGCGCGAAGTCCCGGCGGATCCCAGCGGAAGAGTGACGTGGGGCGGGGCGAGGCGGGATGCCGTTGGATGGGTGGGCGGGATGGCACCGGAAGAGGGGGGGGCGGTGGCGCGGGGCGACTGTCCCTCTCAAGTCCAATATTGCGGATGTAAATCCCCATTCGTGATTTAATAACGGGCGGCTCTGCGGACACGCGGAGGGGCAGGGGGGAGGGGGACCCAAAATAGATTATCTCCGCACCGAGTAATTGCTCATTTAACTTCGCGATGTTTAATGCGGCAGAGGCGACGGCGGTGAAGCGAGAAGAGGGGACGGAAGGGCTTATGGTGCGCGATCTTTCTCGCAACAGACGTCGCGCTCTCTGCAATTAGCCTCCTATTGCAATCACCCCTCTTTGCACGCGAACAAATACCCGCATATGCTGAACGTAGTAGACAGTGGCATAGATGTTTCATCTATACACACACACACACACACACACACACACACACACACACAAGCACGCACGCATACACACATCTCATTTCCAATTAGTATTACACTCTAAGTTCATATTAGTTTAATGGGGAATATCAAGTTACACTCCTGTAAAAATATTTATGCTTACATAAATAAAGGAAATAAAAAAAATAGGAGCGATAGGGTAGTATTGCAGAGAATAAAACAAACGTCGCTCATGACACCTGTCACAAAGTCGTTCAGCTTTGAAATGGCGAACATTCGGTCCGAGATTAATCTTTTATTCCTTGTTGAAACAAAAAAATAAAAAACTCTTTAGCTACGTTTTTTGAAACACTATTGATGATTTTGGAATTTAAAAACAAAACAAAATAAACTGAAGGTGAGCTAACAGTTTCAGCAACTGAAAGAAAGAAATCCTGTTGTAATAGAGAATACTTTAGCAAGTCCACAGCCATAAATTCATGTTAGTACAAAATAATTCATTTTATTAATAATATACAATTTTCGGAAGAGAATATCACAAACCTTTAAACGATTCGCAATTCCGATTAGTTAACTTGTGTTCACATCCACATCCACTGTACAACCGTCAGTGGTAAAATTTTAGCGACTACTCAAACTCGCGCAAAACTAGGTACATTCAATTACCAACAGCCGCGCAAACGTACGAAATCATACAAAATGTTCGCCCAACATCCCCCAAAGCGCAGTGCCAGTCCCGGCACACACGCGCGGTGCTGCACGTCGCCACTCCGCAGCAGCGACGCCGCGTCGAGTTACGCACGTCATTTTTCACGCGGCCCACCGCGCGGGCGCCAGGCGCCGCCCTTTGTGACTGCGGCGACGGCGGCGGCGGCGGCAAGGGCGTCAGGGTGGGCGGAAGAGGCAAGGCGGGGGAGGGAGGGCGGCGACGTTCCGCGCCTCGCGCGAGACAATGTGCGGCGGGACAATGGAGGTGCCAATGGCAATCATTTCGTGTGGCGGCGGCGGAGGCGGCGGTGAAGGGCGTCGGGGCTTCGGGGGACGAAGGGGTTATTGTGCGCCATTGGACGCCGTCCAGACAGCGCCCGCTTCTTGCGGAAGTGGCGCCGCGGAGGCGGATCAAAGGCGGCGGTGGGGGTGCGCGAACGGGCTCTGAGGCGTATGCACCTGCGGACGGAAGCTGTCAGAAATGACCATGATTCAAAGGACTTCATACGATCCTCAGGGTTTCCAATTCTGTGATCTATGAATTGCTCGTTGCCTCCTTACATTTCGCTGAAGTTGCAGTTAATGATTCAAAAAACCTGCAATAATGCACAACCAAAGTGAATTTATTACATTATTTATTATATTTATACGTATATGAACAACAGCATTTATTTCTTGGCATTGGGGATAAACGTGCACAAAGAACATCAAGCGATTCAATTGTGAATTATCCCACGCACCCCAACCCTGCAGAAATTTCTCCAGACGCTAAATCAATCACACAGAACAGTCCATCCAAAACGTACCCGCAAAAAAGTGATATCACGACCTTGTTTATTTGATGAATGGAGTTCATTCAAAAAGTGCGTTCATCACGGGTTTACAGAGCATTGGAAAAATATGATACTGCCGTCCAGATACAAATTCTGAGTATTCATGTAACTGCTCTCCGGCGCAGGAGACCACTTTACTCATTAAAGTATATAAAACAAAAATTGTGTACCTATTACAATTTACACAATGTCAATCAACGAATAGTTTTCCATGCAATAATTAATACAAATACCGTAAGATAGTAGTTAGATTTTTGCATTTATGTTGCCTTTACAACTTTTTCCTGTTTATAAAATAACTGCCTACGATAGAACGACAGACCTCCAAAGCACGCGATATTAAAATGAATCTTCTGTTCTAAATTGTGTATTCCCCATGGTACATTCATGTATTTTACTAACGACTTGACGAATATTTACCAGGGTATAAAGCAATCTAAAAGCACTGTGAATAACTTGGAAGTGTATTTCGACTTGAAAGAAAGGTTATCGCAATTACGACGAAATATCGCAGTTTTTAAAAATAAAATTTTCTGCAGTATAATTGCACTAAAAACCCATTGTCATGCAACATGTTTGCAAATATGAAAATTTTCTTTTACTTGCATTAACATGACCTCACAGATATTTTAAGTACATTTTTTACATATAGAATCATGCAACTCACAAAACTTCAACAATAATTATGAGCGGTACTTAGTAAAATAAGAATTCATACTCTATGCACAGAAAACATTTCAGCCTTTACAGTTTCACACTAAACAATAATCATACTATGATTCATTCCTTCGTATTTTGTAAGACACACCGCAATTTGTGATTTCGAAACAATGAAGAGACAATGCGTTACCTATTGCTAAGACCCTGCCGCTACTATGGAAAGTCAGACGCCACCACGACCTACCTTCGGGCCTTGGCTGCAGCCTCTGGTTGCGAGCGAGGCGCGGCGACGCACAGCAGAACCTCCCCCCCCCCGCCCCCCAATTACTTAGCAGCTGTCATCCGCTCGACGCGACGTAAGGAGATGCGCTTCCGCAGGACCTCGTTTCAGGCACTGAAGAACTGCGCAGAGTCCTCGCACCCAGGCACCAGCCGCGTCGTCGACGGTGAAGGCGACGATGGGAGGAGAGACGAGAGAGAAGACAAAGAGAGGGAGAGAAGAGAAAGGAGACAGAAGTGAGAGAAGGAGACTACGAAGAAAAACAGATGGCAGAAATTGGGAGAGATGGGGGAAGGGAGAGAAAAAGAGAAAAGGCGAAGGTCATCCAGAGAGCATGTGTGTGAGAGGGAGTAAGTTGTTTTTTTTTTTGTTTTTTTTTTTTTTTTTTTTTTTTTTTTTTTTTTTTTTTTTTTTTTTTTTTTTTTTTTTTTTTGCGCGAGAAGAAATGACGCGAGATGTTCATTTTCGGTAGCAATTGACAAACTAGGTCTTTCAGCTGACACTCGTTGGCACTGATTGGTAACTTGCACGTAATGCTAAAGGTGAGGTAACATTTGAATTACGTGATAAAGCAACACAAAGCCCTTAAGAATGAAATGCGGTGTCACTTCGGGTATATGGATGACAGTGCCAATGTTGACGCAACTGTGTCAGAAGCAATGAAAGAAGAGGTACGGAAAGTACTGATTTATTATTTGTTCTTCCCTTAGTTGCCCATGCAGTTGGGGGCGCTACTCTATGTGAAGCTTAAGTACCATCTGTAGATATTCACATCCCGTCCATGCTTCAATGCCGAGAAGGAAGCAGCGGTTCACAGTGAACTATGAAAGGGACTAGTTGCGAGGATGTAGGAGACTGTGACCCGGCGAAAGGAGAACGAAAGAACAAATTGCGATGTCAGCACTGAAAAAATGATGGAAGAGAGCAGCGAGAGTAGTGGGGGGTGCTGAGGCTGGTGACAGAAGGGAGTGAGAAACAGCGCTGGGAACCGTGTCACTGGTTGCAAGAGGCAGCGGGTCTCAGGGGCCCGATATTAATACCTCGCGAATAAAGAAGTCCGCCTTTGATGTCACAGCAACAATGGCAAGTCAGTCCGCAAGATGTTTCATCCATCAGACGGCCTCTCATCCGCAGGCGCGGGCTCTTAAAAGCACGCACGCTTGACCTCTCCCTTTGTAATAAACGGGAAGTGAGTCTGTCTCCGCTCTTTTTTAAGCAAAAAGCTCCTGGTACATGAGCAAACTTGTGCGTGCGGGACCTCCCCTCGCTAAAGAGGTGGAGCTAATTTTCTCAAGCAGCTTCAAGGGAAAGGGTTTAAGTAGCTCCAAAATTGTTATCTCTCCTCACTACATTTTATAAAGGAGCGCACAGATAATTGAATTAAACTGAGTCACAAAACTGTATCAAGAGACAAACTCCTTATGCACTATTTAAAAAACTTACCTAAAGAAGAAAATATAGAAACTACGCTAAAAGCAAGAGCCAGAAACTTGTGCTTACGTGTTTATTATCGCCCGGGAGCAGAGGAGTGTGTGCCTGTAACAGAAAGAAAAACACAGTTAAACCAAGGGAGTCAACGAACACGAAATATGCATTTCAAAGGAGAAAAGGAGGGAACGATTAAGCAATCAGCTTAAATCCAGAAAGCGGCTTCGCGCCTCCGCGGCCGGGGCGGGGGCTCTGCACGTCTTCCCGGACTGTACCGGCAGGAGGCCGCGGAACGCTCACAGGCTAATTGGGCTCCCCGCACGTACACGACTGCGCTAAATCGACCTAATCAAGCGAACAAAGATTAATTAACGCTACACGCGCGCGCTCACACACACCCGCACCTATTGTATTAGATCATGCCAAACCGAATTCCAAACGCTCACTTTTTTTATTCATCCCATCGTATTCGACGCGGGTGGCAGGGGGCGTGTCGGGTTGGCTTAGGCGTGGCGGCGGGGAGCGGGCGTTGTATGCTAATGGGGGAGATGGAGGAGGAGGCCACCCCGAGAGCGGGTGCGTGCCCAAGGGCGGCGAGTGGATCCAGTGAGGGTGGGGGCAGAACGGGCGCGGTAATTCGAAAACCACGTGGGTAAATTTCCCTGGGGGAGCCGGCGGCGAGCCCGGGCTCGAGGGTGGAGGGGGAGGAGCGGAGAAGAGAATCGGAGTGCGTTATGCCTGCGACGCCGCAAACCGCCGCCGGAGGCAGTCGCGGAAGTGTGGAAGTGCTGCGTGCGCCCCGCAGCGACCCGTCGGCCTGTTTGCAACGGGCGTGGGCCGCTATGCCGCTCAGAACCACCAGCGACGGAATTCGCACGCTGCCAATTGTCAACAGCACGCTGACTGGCTTTCATGTCACATGTTTTTATTATTCGCCTCGCGTCAACAAACATTTGTCTCCAACACTTATTTTATTTATTTGGCGAGCGGATAACTTACTACTACTGTTCCGCATCCTATCTCAATTATTGAAAGAATGCGACATCGAGAGATCATAATAATGACTAATTAATAAACTACTTTTTTTTTGTAGGCACTGCGAGCAACATCAGCGCTGAGATATGAATGTGGCGACATTATGACGGCTACAGGTACGTAAACAACGCTACCGAAATAATGGTTTGTCAATTAAAACTTATCATGATGCGACAATGTCACATTTATTCTACTGAATGTGACATCGTAAGCACCGCATCATTTCCTATCAAAACGAATGAGGTCCATCCAGATGGAAATATCGAAGCGAGTTATTGGAGAATAACATGGTTGGACATTAATTGACAATGGAATGGAGTGGACGCTAAAATTAATAAACAGGGAAGAGAAGTTGCCCGCAATATCTACAACTATTCCATTTGGCGTACGAATCCCTTGACTATGAGGTGGGCAAAAACGTTTCATGCTCTCCAGTGGCAACCGCTAGCTATTAATTATATTTCAGATTCTTAAGATTCCCCCAATCACACTTCGCATCTTCAATTCTAAGCATCAACCCCATCTCCGGCTGATTAAAATTCCCTATTAAATTAAGATGCAAATGCAGAGAAAAGCAAAATAAACATTTGGTTCATTATAATAAACTATTACATAATCCCTACTTCTTTTCTGGAATTGCCACAACTATTTATAGATCACAAACTAGCATTTCGTAATTTATATGCAACAAGAAATCGATAATATTGAAATAACTTTTATGGACCCATCGTCCATCTTTATAAAGACACAAAAGATATTTAAGAGTTAAGACTCTAACTTAATAAACTGTGCAACATATTGTAATGTCTGTATAATATGACCAATAAATGAGTGACAACGAGAATTATAAGATAACATCACATCTATACAGCTCCCATAAATCGCCTAGTTTAAATTGTCAAACAATACCTGCTACGTGCAATAGTTATAGTACAACATCACATCCACTCAGCACGTAGCCATGCATCACAAATTAAATCCTTCATTCGTGCTATGTATAATCCCATAAACCACAAGACAATGTTTAAACATCGCGACCACACATCCTGGCAGAGGCTACGAGATCCGAACGTCCATAGATCACTCACGAGAGCAGGGCAACACGACCGCGGAAATTGGAGTCCGCAGCGTGAACGAAATTCGACACGACCCACCTCACCGCGTCACATGGCCACGACTACCGTCACAGCTTCGTCACCAATTTTGTTTAACCCTTTCGGTCCTCACGGAACCTGCTGACCTGGCATCCCCTCCCCCTAGCACTTCATGTCACGAATTCACACCTTTCCATCGAACATTGCTAATTGGAGCAATGTCATTGTCCCTTTGTAGCTGTCCCAGTTTCCCGGTCATATTAACTCCCTACCTTCTCTTCAAATTGAAATTCCAATGTGCTATACTATTTCCCACGAATGGCTTCGTCTATTATGTGTGTGGATTAATTATTGAAGCACTGTTAACCTCCCCTGAATAGATTAAGAGTTCAGGACAGTGCACTCATAGGATATAGATCCACTTACGTACCTCGTCTTTAGAATACGTCATGTCCGTATAAGTAAAAACTCGTGACTTATGCATGCTTGCCACGATTAGTGTTAGCGCTCATAGTCCCACACTCGCATACCCTAGTTCGACCTCCTTCCAAACCGAACGACACGCCTCTCCGCGATCCCAGGGTGTCGGCAGCTTCTGGCGCGGGTGCCGCCAGCTGCCGCAGACTCGTCGTATGAGCCTCCAACAGACGACACGGTGCCTGGCTGGCTCACACGCCCGCCTCCACCACACGGGGTCGCCCGCCCGCACCCCCGGCGGGCGGGCGGGCGGGCGCCGTTCGGGCGGGCGCGCGTTCGGGCGGGCGGGCGGCGGGCGGGCGGGCGGGCGGGCGGGCGGGCGGGCGGGCGGGCGGGCGGGCGGGTGGGCGGGCGTGGGCAGTGGGGTGGCGCGTGGGTGGTGCGTGGTGGGTGGGTGGGTGGGAGAGCCGTCGGGCCCACGAGGTGCCTGCCGCCCGCATGTCGCGCGTTATCAAGGGCCGCGATTAGACGCGCGCGGGGGCGACCGCAGCGCCCCGCCTTGGAGGCCTTCCAGACCGCAGCGCGACCCCCGCCGCCCGCCGCGCCCTGCTTCACGCGTCGCCGCAACATGCGCCACGGCGGGGGAGGTCAGGCGCCGTCTGACGCCGATGACTCAATCGATGAGACGGAATTGGCCGTGCATTGCGTATGCAGAATCCACACAGTATACATCACACCTACCCAACGCGAGATCAAGCAACAAATGATAAAACAGTCGATGCCGATAGTTTATTTCTTACATATCGATGGATTAATGCACGAATATTGTGTGTCCACCCATGGTCATTTTTGTGTTAATATAATTTTTGAAGACCTTTCGTACATATCTACGTAGTGAACAAAGATTTTATGTTGATGGAATAACGCATTTGTTCTAGAAAACCAACATTGTCGCTCCACAAGTAACTGCATCTTTACACCTTCCTTTCACGCTTTTCACGCTGGGTTTTCTCGAAATTATGAATTATAGACATACAATATACATGCTCCACGCCATCCATATACAAGAGTAATTTTGTCAAGAACTTTGTTCTCTACCACACTCATTAAATACGCAACTCTAATATAATGTCTTGCAACCTGTGAGGTTCATAAAAATGCTCTCTGAGATCTGAAAATCGAGAGGTCACTGCTTCACTCTGTTGAATCTTTTTTATGAATCTAATACACTCGTAATGTGGGAAGTAACGTCAAGTTGACGTTATTAGTTGATCATGATGCAAATGCTTACTAGTGACAACTAAAACTCCATCGTCTGGACGTCCGAGTAGAAAATAACAAGAAGTAAGGAACTGATTTATCAACATAATATTATTTTAGATGATTTATTTCTGCATTTAATTACATACGCGCTAAGAAAATAGAAGTGTCTAATTATAATTCTTTATTAAATTAAGACAAATAAGTTAACAGTGGCCACTTTATTACAATTTGAGCTTCAAGGAAATTTAACAACAATATAATATCCATTTAAGAAAAAAAACATGTTGTCGCAAGAATATAACACTATAATAGAAACAATTTACGTAAACCAACAATTAACATACTAACAAGCAATGAAATATTTGTAAAACTGTCGTTCTCATCCCTTCAGTAAATCACCCCAATATTTTCTTTCGATTCTGCGGCAGGCTCTAAGCGAGTTCGACCTATCCTAAGCGGTTTTAAATAACCGTCTCCAACCAATCCGCGAGCCAATTTCGTGCTTCGATTTCACCGCGTACATTATTCGCCTCGTCCGGTAGACTCTTATTGCATGCAAATTCCACAGGAAATGCGGCCAGGGGAGAGAAAAAATCCCTTCTGAGACGGGGCGGCGCGGCGTAGGCTTCGAATTAATAAGTATGTAAATTTGAATTCTTACGCCAAGAAAAGATGTTCCTTCTACTGTCAACTTTTATAACAAAAGTTTCCTCCTCGGAAGCTGCGGGCCCCGCCCTCGTCTCCACGCCGCGCCGTCAGTCGCACGAGGGCGTGGGCGGGGGCGGCAAGGTGGAGACGGAAGGGGGCGGGGCTTTGTTAGTATTTCGTCTGCTCGGAGCTGCTGCCTCGCCTCGCACCGCGCCGCCTCGCGTCGCCTTGGCTCGCGCTTTCCATGCAAGAGGCTGAAAAAAAGATCCTCCAGAGCGCGCACGGAAGCGGCGAACCCACACAAGACGATCCTGACTAAGAGACGCAACTTTAGGTTATAATCCGCTCTCCTTGGAAATATTTCAGCTATCTTAGTTGACGTTGGAATATTAAAACGGTAAATCCTGACTAAAAGTTTGTGACTACAGTAGGGACAATATTTCATAAAAATTGTTCATATATTTCGGGTTGATATAGATTCCATCGGGAGAGATACCACGAAACAATTCATTAACACAAAAAAACCAAATATCAGACGTATATTTAGTGTGGTTTTTAAATTGAACATACATTTCAAGAAAGCTACACACATTTCATGTGCTGTTTGTTGATTTTTCACAGAAAACATTTCAAGATAAAAGGGAGAAACTT